TCATCTGAAGCCACGTTATGTGATGGAAGAGATGCACGCCTTGGCTCAGGTTGTTGAGGAGGCACGAGGAGATGCCCATGCCTCCCGGAAGCGGAAGCGTGTAGCAGAACCCGACACGATACCACGACGACGGACAGGAGGCGCCTTTTCGCGCCTTGCAAGCGGCGACGAGTCCCCGATCAGCCCCAAATCGGTGGCCAAGCGTGCTGTGTCTGCAGATATTGGTCACGTACCGCCACTGCCGCCAGCTGCTACATCGGTAGAGAGCCCACACTTGACAACTCCTACACAGGAGTTGTCTCTGCGTGAGGCTGAAGGATGGAGCGAAACGGAGGATGGGCACTCCAAGAGCCCACCTCTCAAGGGTATCAAAGTTGTCATTATCCACGTCAAAGACCGCCCGGATGGTAGGGACCAAGCAAAACTAATTTTGCAAGAGCTCGAGGCCTACGAAGACGACGCTCAACTCGGCTGCGAGTTTGTTGTTTCCCACGCAGGGCAGAGTCTCTACCTTTGAAATGGTTTTGATGGCGTTTGGGCGCAGGATGGTCTAGATGCCGATTACACGAAGATACGATTTGCATGAGGTTCTCAGGATGAGGATGAATGCGATGGGGGCTATCTTGGAGTTTTCATTGGGGAGACAAGTGGAGGCAAGGGTATATATACCATGTATTTACGCGCACCATCTGTCGCATTCTATATATCCATCGGCGGCCGCGATGATGATGGGCCGCCGCGTCTTGATTCATTGCCACCTAATTTCTATATTATACCTTGAGGACGCTTGCGCATTGCAATGTTGGAAATTGCCTCTGATACCTCCATTACCTGGTTGAACGATTGTGCGTCGTGGCTCTTGAATGACATTTCGTTGTAAGTCTCTATTGCTTGCTCTTCTGGAGCTTCTCGTAGCCTTCCTCACCACCAATGTTGCTGTCCCAGTCCGCTCTAGGGATCTCCAAGACCTCGGTGGTGCGGCCGTAGGTGATGCCTCCTAACCTGCTGACAGGGCGAAGTACCTAGAGATTATCAAGTCAGTCTTCAGCTGTTCCACGAAACCCAGAAGAGCCAAGGGGGTTACAAAATTGAAGCTGGACAAAGACTTACAGTAGGATCGACAATGTTCTTCTGCTCATTGATAGCATCCTCCCTCACCCAAAAGTTGACACCCTCAATGAAGGCAGTGACACCGCTCTTCTTCCCCGGGGTAGCGCGCGAATCCCACTCCTTTACGAAATCAAGCTTCCCCTCAACGCTGAAGACGGCCTCCTTTACGCGCGCGGCCTGCACGTGCTTGCAGTCGTACACGGGCGTCAACCCGCTCACGTCCCATTCCGATTTTCCGTAGGGCGCGTTGACGGACGTCGAGTTGGCGGCCTCGAGGAACCCTTCGGAGATGATGTTGATGACGCACTCTTTACTCTCGAGCAGACACTTTAGCGAGTCCTTTGGTTTCTCAATGGAGGCGGCGAAGCCGACGACGAACATTGGCGGGTCGTGGTTCACCATGTTGAAGTAGCTAAAGGGCGCGAGGTTCGTGACGGTGCCGTCGGCGGAGCGGGTGGAGAGGAAGGCGATGGGACGCGGGGTGATGGCGGAGATGAGGAGTTTGTAGTTGAAGCCTGCTGGACGGCCTTCGGCGTGGGGATCGATCGCTACGTGTGGTGTTGAGAGGTGCGGTTGGCCTAGGGGGTTTGCGCCGGAGCCGAAGGACCAGTCGGGGGAAATTGTTTTTGTAAAAGTGATGCTGGCTTCGGTGTTGAAGGGCGGGCGGGTGGATTCTACGGATTTGAAGTCTGGGTGGGGGTTGTGGGTTGCGCTGGTGCCGCCGGCGAATTTGGAGTTGTTCTGGGATGTCATTGTGAGGGATCTGGAGGGGGTTGTTCCTGTTTGGAGGTTGAGAGGGCGGCGAGAGTGGAGGGGGTTGGTGATGTTTGGTCTGGTGAGGTTACGAAGGAGGAGGGTGCGCGATGACATTGTGGGATGCGGAAGTTGAAGTGGTTTTATATCGTCGGGAATACGGAACGGGAGTGGAGGAGGAGGAGGAGGGGCAGGCCAGAATTGCGATTGCGGGATCCGAGAATCCACTCTCACTTGCTTGACGGGTGGATAATGATATGGATGTGGAAGCTTTTGGGTTTGGGTCTTCCCCTTTCTTTCTGGTCTACCTACTTTACTCGCTCAAACTTGCGGCATGTTGCTTACGGATGCTTGCTTTGCTAGCTTACCTGACCTTGCCGTAAGGCACCCCATAACCCTGAGCCGGACCCCCCTCCTCCCCTTCTCCCCTTCTCGGATGGTGGAGTAGATGCCGAGGGGGAGGGACGGTCGGTGGTGGGGTGACGTGGAGGTTCACACCAAATTGCACCTTGTTCATTGTCGCCAACGAGGGGCATTTGGAGGGGTAACGTGCAGGGATCGGGAGGTGGTCCTTGTCCCTAATGATGCAATTGACTTGGTGGTTGGGGTCGCTTGATGCATTACCCGGTGATGATTTTGACTGGTTCAATAGGTATCACTACCTAAAGTATTTGGAAATATATGTACACCTAGTCGGTCCCTTGACACGTTCTGGTCCATTTTCCACACGGCGATTGACAAATTGGCTATTGGTAATTAGCTATCGTTCCGTCCGCTGGCCCGGAAGAGATTCGGGGAGTGGAAATCGGAACTCGGAAGGGTCTTAGGTGATGGGTGCTTGCATGTGGAGAGAGAAGAACGGCTTGCCTTGAAGCGTGTGGAGGAGGTCCATGTACTCGGTTGATAAGATAGGGTTATCAAGATAAGCTTTTTTGTCAGCTGTCAGGCGCACTCAGGTGCAGACACTTCCATATTCACGAGGAACCTTTCCAATGGAAAACATACTTCCCAGGACGAGGAGGTATGAGGAGCTGAGCATTAGTATATATGTAGGTGAGGCAGACATGGTGCGATGTCTCGAGGCCAGAGAATGCAAAAACCACCACAATCTCTCTCTCCTATGTTTGTGATGGATTGGCAAATCATCGTCAACCTTGATCTGGAAGGATTTCAAAGCACCTGGTTCTAAGTTTGGATCAAGGCTGTTTGGCTGTGTGCTTGTCTCTCCTTCTTATCTCTCAGGCGCACAGGTACCTAGATAGGTATTGGGCTTTTATGTTGTTGAGGGCTGGCTGTAGCGCGCGTGTGCGCATCTGCTCTGAGATGAAAGTGTCTCAACGGCTGAGCGCGGGGGTAGCACGAGAGATGCCAAGCGATGGGCTGCGAGACATTCCGCCTCGAGACATGGACTCGATGCATTTGGTAAAAGCCCATAGGTATGCAGACCAGTGCATGGGTTCCCAGTTGAGATTCGCGTTGGGAGGCGAGAAAGTAGAGACAACGGATTCCTCGCTGGACGGTATTTGGTGTTATTGCTGATCATCCTCCAGGAGAAGCTCCGTGGGGGGACGGAAAGCCCGCCTCGACACACTCAAATGCTCAGGTATTCTGATCCCCTTCACTTTCTCAGCGTAGGTACTCTTCCATAGGGTCTCTGATACGTACTAAGTTACTGCCTCCCCCCGCCATTCCCATCAACTCGGCGCGTGGCATGGCGGCCTTCCTCCGCAGCGGGCATTGGCTCTGTTTCGCATGCAAGGACGCACCGCGGCGGTCGATGGAATGCCTCCGTGTGTTTGGCCACGCCTTTGCAGGAATGGAACGCTACCTTACTATCCTACGTCTCCTCTGATTTGCGTGGGGAGCAGGTATGTGCGACCTCAACAATCCGAGCGTGCGTGCAGATGTATGTACCTTTGGGTCAAAACGAGATATATATATATCTCTCGATAAGACGCCCTCAATTAATGTCCACAGTCTAAAAAGTTAAGGGAAAGAAAAGATCATCCAACCTGAGAAATCCATCCCTCAACGAAAGAAAAGAGAAGCAAAACATCATAAAAAAGCCATTGATCCAGCGTTCAAATCATCACATCATGAGCGCAATCCGCTCCTCGTCATCAGCCCTCCTCCTCCTCGGAGGCGTCGCAACCCTCCCAGGCGCCGCTACAGTCCGAAGCCAGTTCCCGCAACGGAGCAGCACCACCCTCTCCACCACCGCGGCAGAGCATGCCGAGCTGGGCTACATGCAGCAACCACTCGGCCCCGCCAGCAGCCGAACGACGACCCACACGGCCGCGAACACGAAGCGTAGCGGTGGTGGTGCCTCAGGCCTTGGATGGCAAGCTACACAAGCGTTATGACTGCCCCGGACGGGGGCGCAGGTTGTCACCATGTCGACTACGACGATCCAGGCGGCACCATCATCTCCAAGGGTGAGAGATGGCGGTACGGCGGCTGGGTTTCGGTATAAGTCTGCGGAGGAGGTTGTCGCGGTTGTTCTTGGGCGGAATCGGCAGTATCAGAAGTACTCATCATCACGGCCTGTGGAAAGAGATTGAAAAGTGGGGGATTGGAAGGCATCGGTTTAAGAAAATTGCAGGTCACGGTCAGGGGTGAGGGGAACTCTTGGCGTTCAAGAAATCATTTGGTGAAGGAAGGACAAATTTGGAAAATTGACTTTTAAGCGAGCGATACAGGTTGATATTGGCTGATGGCACTTCATGCCATTGGAATTATTGATGGGATCAATTGTCATGGGCTCTGAATACCTACAAGATGGGCAAATTGGGAATGAGATTCACGATATCCATGTTCATGGCTTGTCGCATTAAGTAATCACCCCAAAGATCTCAGGCAGATCTAACAGAAATCACGTGCACCCGATAAGCTCTTATCGGCAAAGGGTCCTTTCTGAGGTGTGGGAAAGTTTTTTGGCCGACTGCAGTCACTCCCCGTCCCGTCCCACGTCGCCGCAACAGTCACCAAATTCCAGCCAGTCAAGTCGATCTTTTTTTTTTTCTCCGTAGCTGCCCTTCTCCAATGTGTTGATATCCACCAGTTAATTTTTTTGGTCGTCGCCCGTTTTTTGCCCTTTTTGTGAGCCTTTTCTGCGCTCCCCACACTCCTTCAACTTCATGTACCGCCCGTATACCCAAAGGCATGTGGCGCAAACATTGAATAATCGTTTCCCATACACCTCGCTGTCCCCCCGGAAAGGTTCAGCCAGAGCTCTGCCATCTCCGTTCCTCCTAGTTCTCTCCTCTCGAGTGTCCTACCACAACCGATCTAACAACAAGAAGCCAAAGCCTGCCGATTCCTTGGCCGACGCCTTTGAGTCAAAGTTCGAGAACAGGGTCGACAACAAGTCTGATTCCAAGTTCAAGTTGAATATTGTCGATTCCCGGCACGCAAAGACTGGTTTCGTCAACAGAGATAGCGGAGCCAAGCGTCGAACCTTTAACAAGGACGTCCCGCTCGCCACCTCGAATCCTACCAGGACACCGCCCGCCACCTTTTCTCCGCGAGACGCCGAGTCCTTTGGGAGAGACGCAGAACCTTTTCGCAGAGACGAGCCCTTTCAAAGAAGCGCAGAACCCTTCCGCAGAGACGAGCTCTTTCGCAGAGACGACAAGCCATCCCGCCGATACGAAGAGCCCTTTAGCAGGAATAAGGAACGCTTCCACCGAGACGAGCCTTTTCGCAGAGACGACCGAGACGAACCTTTTCGCCGCGACGAGAAGCCTTTTCGCAGAAACCAGCCCTACCGCAAATACGACGAGCCTTTCGGCAGAAATAAAGAACGTCGCAGGAATAGGGAGCCCTTCCAGCAGAAGTACGCCCTAAACACCAACGTACGCGGCACACGCCCACTGCCCTCGACAGATTTCTTAGCTTCAATCGTAGGGCACAAGCATCCCGGTGGTATCGCTAGGAGAGACGTTGTCCGTGGTGATCCGGAATCGTTCCCCAACAAGCGGGTTTTCTGCATACCGGCCAATTGGAACAAGGTCTCGGTGAAAATTCCAGACTCTTGGATCTACTGCGCCGACTTGATTCAAGGACCAGAGACGGAACAGACATACTATACAAAGCTACCACCGGCTGGAAAGAAGAGAGATATTCGCGCTGCCATGACGAACTACTTCCAGATCGCGGCGACGCCGACGGCGGATACGGGCCCGGCCCTGATGCTGCACTTTGACCAGCGCCGCTACCTATTTGGCAACATTGCGGAGGGAACACAGCGAGCGTTGAGCCAACGTAAAGTGAGCTTGGGCAAGCTGGAGGTCATGTTTATTTCGGGCGCGACTATCCAGCAGAACACTGGCGGTATGATTGGTATGATGCTTACAGTCGCGGATGTTCTCGACGGCAGCAGGAGAGAGGTGCACGAGAGGAACCAGGCGAGGAAGGGCACGGGAAAGAAATTGATCGCGGCCAAAGGTCCCGAGCGGATTGAGATCCATGGTGCCCAGAACCTCGCATACTCCGTCGCAACAGCGAGAGGCTTTGTGTTCAGAAAGGGACTTCCGATTCGTGCCGTCGAACTTTACGAGGATCCGCGAATCGCCAACCCCGAAGCCACCACTCCTGATTGGCAGGACGAGCTAATACAAGTCTGGAAGGTACCCATCGCCTCCGATCATGTCAACAAGTCCCGTAAGAGAAGCCACGAGGTCATGACGGCGGAAGATGAAGGCCTGTCGAGCCCAGCCGGCGCTGTTGACGCCAAGGAGCAGGCCGTCATTGACCGGGAAGCGATCAAGGGTGTCGTCGAGAGCATGTTCAACTCCAGCTGGACCATGGACAAGCTGTACGAGACAAAACTTTCGCAGGTCCAGCTTCCCGCCACCATCTTTGTCAGAGAAAACGGCAACATCAAGAAGTACCAAGGTCCCATGCCGGGCGGCGACGAACCTGTGCCTGACCTTGACGTTCTTGTGCGGTACCCTTGGCCGGCGGCCACGGTTGAGAAGTTGCCCAGCGCCTCCATCTCAAACACTGCCGTTACCTATATCGTCAAGAACAAGGGCCGAAGAGGCAAGTTCAATGCGGCTGCCGCGAAGGAGCTGGGCGTAAAGCCCACTGACAACAAGAAACTCACCGACGGAGTATCTGTCCAGGGCAAGGATGGTATTACCGTCACCCCCGAGATGGTTCTCGAGGCGCCGATCAAACCTCAGGGCTTCACAGTCATCGATATCGCAGACGCATCCTACGTTGACTCGTTCCTCGGCAGACCAGAGTGGCAAAATGCAAACTTGATGGATGGCGTACACGTCTTCAACTGGATCCTTGGGCCGACCGTCATCGACGACCCGAGAATCCAAACGTTCATGAAGGAACGACCGGATGTCAAGCATCTCGTCATGTCCACCGATACCAGCCCCAACATGCTGGCGTTGGATTCCTACGCAATCCTCCACGGCTACCTGAGGCAGATCGACCCTGACCGCTTCCCGCAACTTGCCTTCAACAACAAGGTCCGGGACCTCTCACACATTGGCCCCAACGTGGAGACTGCTCGTGTGGGCATGAAGGCGAAGCTGTCACCTGCCTACGAGCTTATCAAGGATGAGATTGTTCCCCCAATTTATAACAAGTTCAAGGGCTCCGCAATGGAAGAGGGGGTCATTAGACTCGCAAAGGAAGCCGCAGACAAGATCAAGGAGCCTGCTTTCCTAAAGGAGATTGAGGAAGCAGAGAAGGACATCCCGAATCGCGACACGGAGATCATCCCTCTCGGCACCGGATCTGCGGTGCCATCAAAGTACCGCAACGTCTCGGCAACCCTTGTCCGGGTACCCCAGTACGGCAATTACCTTTTTGACTGCGGTGAGAACACCCTCGGCCAGCTTCAACGAACATTCGGGGCCGAGGAAACAACCAAAATCCTCCAAGAGACCCGCTGCATCTTCATCAGCCACATGCACGCCGACCATCATCTTGGAACAGCACGCTTCCTGCGCGCCTGGAACGAAGCCACTATCCACCTCTCTCCCCAACCTCAACTCGGTCTCATCGGCCCCGCCGCGATGCAGTACTTCCTGATGGAGTATAGCCGCATCGAGCCCATCGCCTTCGGGCGCGTCAAGCTCATTAGAAAGGGCCACTTCTTCCCCCACGACGAAGGCCGCCTCCCCGCCGACTGCCCGACGCGCCTCGCCTCCGCCCAGCTGGTCCCCGTCAACCACTGCAAAGATGCCTACGCCGGCGTGCTGACCTGGCCGTCGGGCCTCAAGATCGCCTACTCGGGTGACTGCCGCCCCAGCGAGAGACTCGTCGAGGCCGGCAAGGGCGCGACGCTGCTGATCCACGAGAGCACCTTTGACAATGACAAGATGGGCGACGCGGTGGCCAAGAAGCACAGCACGTTGGGCGAGGCTCTCAAGGTGGCGAGCAACATGGGTGCGCGCCGCGTGCTGCTCACGCACTTTTCGCAGCGGTATGCCAAGCTGCCGCTCGTCGAGGATCGCAAGACGGACGATGGTGCTGATCAGGCGGTGTTGATGGCGTGGGATCAGATGAGGGTGAAGCTGGGCGAGTTCCGCCAGGCGCAGGCTTTCTTGCCTGCTATTAGCCGCTATGTGGAGTATGATGCCTTTAGGCAAGATGGGGATGAATAGAAAACAACACCACTCTGAATAGACTTGGACGAACATGTCCTTTGACCACTTTGTACCTTCCTCTCCTCATATTTCCTATAATGGCCAAGTACTAGAAATCTCGATGGAACCAAAAAGGCAAAAGAGTTCACCCCCCCGGTGCTGAACTGGGGGCTACATCGCTGGTGCTCATGCTGGGATTCGAACTCGGGTACTCGCTAAGCCTGTCGTCGAGTAGGCTGGTTGGCGTTTTGATTGTTGACCTTGGACCACTCCACCACCCACGCCACAGTTTGACCTGACCCCCGACCTAGAGGGCGCCTGCTGTGCTGGTGACGGGAATTGACTTGAAGGGGTATATGAGGGCTTCGATTCTCGGCGTATTCGGTCGTGTATTCAGGAAGTGGAACTTTTGGCAAGAAAGGTCTTACCGGGATGGAGGCAGGTGCGGCCCCGTCGAGCGGGAGCTTGGGAAGGAAGGCGGATACCCCTTAGAAGTGCGTAGTGACTTCCGACTTTATCGAAGAATTATATTCGAACTCAATCACGTAGCGGTCGCCTCCTCTTACCTTAAGATACCTTCCGTACGACGAATATAGTTCCCCACGTGAAGTAAGAGCATTTGGTGATGAAAGTAAACAAACACCGTGACCTGTTTTATGGCTCGCCTCTACGACCAAGGACATCTACCAATTATCCCGGCGACGGACAAGACGACGAGGCTCATACGTAAGATGACAAGCAGGACGTATAGTTCCCACATTGGAGACCTTAGAGCTGTCGGTTGTAGAGTATCGGGGCTTTTGGGGAATTTTGTGGTAGTCATCATTCTAGACGTACCATTTCTAGCCATGAAGGAGAAGATTTGTTCCACCATGACGGGAGCTCTATCTTGGAAGGCGGGTGGTATTCACATTTACGTGGTGGCATGTGGCATGTGGCATGTGGCATGTGGGTTTAGAGACAAACAGATAAGGAAGGACGGGAGGAAAGCGGGCGAGGAAGAAAGAATTCCAGATACCCTTATGTGCAGGATAGCAAGGTACCTCAGGTTCCAAAGCATGCCCGATGGCGCGCGCCAGGTGGAGCACGAGGAAGCCATCACGGTTGCTCAAGGAATACGCACACTCCACATCCCCTATAGCTGAGCAAAGTTGGTCAGTCTGTCGGGATAGGCGAGACCCTCCACGTTGGCCGATTGGTCTAGCGTGTGACTCTCGTCTACAGATCGCAAACTGAAATTTATTTAAGTCTTCCGCGCCCAGCGTCTCGCGGATAGCACCATATTCTGCCATTTTGCCAGTTCGAGTCTTTATTTTTGGCACTTTTGCTTTTGCTTTTTGGCATCTCACAATGATATAATTGATTATTTTTTGGTTATTTCACTTGTGACTGTGGTGCGGATGGCTCAAAGTCAGTAGGAAAAAGGCGACTGCCGACTAAGTCCCATCGGGATATTCTGCCATTTCTAGCGGTTCGAATCTCCGTCGAGTCACTTTTTTTTAGGCCGTTGATGGCAGCCAGATGTCTGTTTCTCTTTTCTTCCTATCTGCTAATCTCCGTGACATCAATGGCTTGATTCTACAAGAAGAAGGCGACTGCCAAACCGAGTCCTAGCAGACTATCAAGCCGTCCTAATCTCGACCCCGCCGCCGTCGGAAGAGAAGGCGAGCTCGTCGTCGTAGTCGTCCCATTCCTGCCGCCGCGAGCTCCCGTTGCCGCCGGTGGTGTCGGCGTAGAAGGGTCGACCAACAGCGTGGTCGGCATGCTCACAATCGTCGTCGGGGGCGCGATGCCTTCTTCATCGCCGCCGCTGCTGCTAGGTCGCGGTGCCGAAGTCGGAGCCGAGTTCGAAGCTGTAGGGACAGCCGCTGACGCGGAGGGGGTGGTAGCGGGAAGTTTCGTCGGCACTAAGGACGCGGCGGGCTGTGATGCTGCTGCTCCCGCCGATGATGATGAAGCCACCGGTGGTGTAGCGGGCGTCGAGACGTTTTGCTCCGTGTTGGCCCACGTGTCGAGGACGCACTGCTTCATGAGGTTGTTGTCGGTGTAGGTGTTGCCTGACTTCTTGGGCGTCAGGCTGAGGACGTAGTCGGTACTGAAGCTACCGGCCGCCCAGCCCACCAGGCCGATGAAGACGTCGGAGTTTTGGTTGATGAAGGTGTTTTGGGCGCAGAAGCTTGTGAAGCACTTTATTCGTCTGTCAGTTACATCGCGCATGAAAGAGCAAGGAAATCGATTGACGTACCGAAGCATCGCTCGAGGCGCCCGTCTCGCTGACCAGCCCCTTTCGTCCCTTGGCCCTCAGGAACTCAGCCACCGTCCTGAAACTCTCGACATTATCCGTCGTGCAGGGCTTATGCGTGCCGCTGTTATCCTCGTCAAGATATTTGTGCACATCAATAATCAGATTGTCCGTCGTCCCATCGGGGTTCGTAATCGCAGCCAACGCCTCCGCGCTCCCGCTGCTGACAAGGAACTCAGCCGAGTTGAAGTTTGTCCCCGGCAGCAGAATCATCTGCGACGCAGCGCCGGCACCCCTGATCGCGGTCACTACTTTCTGGCACGTCGCCGCCCAGAGTTTGACGTCGAGGTCGTGGGGCTCGTTCATGAGCTCAAATACGACGTTGGCGTTGTCCTTGTACTTTGTCGCGAGCTGCGTCCATAGCGACACGAATTGGTCGTCTGTCGGCCCGCCTTGGCCGATGATGCCGCCGTTCCAGCGGGCGAAATTGTGTATGTCTAGCATACAGTGTGCGCCGGTCGCGAGGCACTTTTGCATTACTTGGTCGTATTTTCCAAGGTTGGCGGCGTTGAGTTGGCCGCCTACTTGGTTGTTGACAAGGAACTGCCATCCGACGGCTGTTGTTTGGCTGTCAGTATTAGACTCTCAAGAGATAGAGAGATTTCAAGTAGACTGACGAAGTCGAAACATGTTGAGCTTGTCGTTCTGTGCAAAATGGTTCATCTGGCCTTCGCCGTCGCCGCCTCCCAGTGAGCTGAGAGGCAGCTGGACTTTACCCAGTGGACAGCTTCCCTGGTATTGGGTCAGTTTTGCATTTCTTGATGAGGTGAGATGTTGAAGGAGGGACCTACATCAATCTCGCAACCAAAGTCACCTCCTGAAATCGCAACTCCCTGTTAGGCAAAAAGTATTAGACACATTGATCCGAAGTACGGTCGTAGATCATACAAGACTTGCCAAGAACTGCACCCTGGCGCATGCTGCCGCCGTCAACCCCAAAAGTGTAAGTGTCTTTGACAACATATTCGATATCTAAGCGAATGAAAAAGAAGCGAAAGTGAAATAAGTTGATGATGTCAAAAAAAAGAAGGGACTCAATCCGAAGAATCGAAGAAAAAAGTTGCGGTCCAAGAAGCGAAGGGCAGCACGAAGCAAACACGAAAGGGGTGCTTTGGTTGCAGGAAGGCCTGGGAAGAAGGATCAAGAACCGTTTGTACATAAGGCAGCGGGGAGCCGCATGACATATCTACTACCGGCAGGCCATCGACAATGCTACTTTGAAAAAAGGGAGCATCCAAGAATAGCAGTCAACCCATGGGCTATATGACATGACACCAGCGAACGGGAGGGCGGGACCGAGAGGTGTGATGTGGACACTTTCTTCTCCCCCCTTCCCCATCATCCACAAACGGCCCAGCTGGAGAGGCACTGGAGGCCCTGGAGGGGGCAGTGAACCTGCGAACAGCAAGTCAGCCGTGAGCAAATGCCCCCCGCCTGCCATCCGATGGTCGTTTCTGTGCGACGAGATTCATGCGGCGAGCGCCACGAAGCCTGGTCGGACGAGGGCCTGCATCAGACGGTGGGAGTTTCATGTGCGGACACCAAGAGGCTCCCACCTCCCTAGGGTGATCCGCGTCCCGTTACCACCGGGACCCCAGACACGCGATCGCCGGGGTGGGTACTATCAGAATGCAGCCCATTATGTGTGGAAATCAAGCGATTTGGGGAGATGGCCGGGGGTAAATGTGATCCAGTACCATCGTTCTACCGCCCTCCAAACTCCAAGTTGGGTTGTGAGCCTCAATGAGAGAAGGGGAAGGGGGAGGGTGGGATGGGACGCACGGCCTCGGGAGCGAATGGGAAGGGGTTCTCGGGCTGACCGGGAGGCGGAGGGTCGGCGTTCCATTGCGTCGGTTTTCGATTGAATGCGGGCTTGGCTGAGGACGATTGCCATCAGTGTCGAGCCTGCATTCACAAACGGCGCTAGCCTCGAGACACGCCATAAGCTTCGACAGTATGAAATCGTTAGACTTGATGCAGGTATTGCGCAAGTATCACGGTGATCGGCTAAGGAGCGGGTGAGCCGTAGTACGTGGCCACCACCGGCGCGCCGTTGAGTAAAGTATGTATGCTTTGAGCGTAGGAAGTGCTCTGGCTACAGAAATGGTAATTAGGCGCCCTTCTGCATTTATTAGTTGTAAGCCCAGAGTTGGTGCTAGCATGAGAAACTATACCATCTCCAGCCCGTTGTAGGTACTGATTCAGAAAAGAATGTCGTAATACAACTTTGGCATTAACGAGAGACTAGGCACAGTGCCCAAAGTACGTACAGCAAAAAGTTACATCGACGCTGGTCACTTGTGTTCGACAACTGGCGCCAGAAGATGTGCGCCTATGGCAAACACTGGCCATACGTGGAAGAGGCCGATTCTGTTGATCACGCAGAACTCTTAGCAGAGATGCAACAGAGACCCACTCGGGCCGATGGTTCAGGTGTCTTGACTCGGGGTGTTGTTTGTCTAGTCCGAGACAACGTCGTACAGCAGTATTCGTTGCACCACTCGAACGGCACCGACAACTACCTGTTCTTCTGTCATGGATACGTCTACTTGTCAGCTTCGTGTCTGGCAGAAGGCTAAACGCCCAGGGCCCGGCTCAAGCGCCATCCCTTGGGGCCAGCGTCTTTTGGTGGACATCCAGGGACAACCCTAGGATCCTTCGACTGAGCCTCCAAACTTTAGCGCGCAAGCACTGACAGAGGGTCAAAGAGACGTTCCACCGTCGCGGAGGATGTTTCCTTTGTAAGTTGACCAGCAAATTGGACCAACAGGTTTCTGAATGGGCAGCATCCCTATGGGTATGGTGATGAAAATTTGGTTCTTCCACCGGGTTTCCTTTCGCTGGGATCAGGAACGGGAATGCCTCTGGCAGGCCTGCCGCGAGTTCCATAAGCCCCTGAGAAGTTTGACTGGGTTTCCCACGCAAGCCCCATTGACGAGGACTCGAGTGCCGATGCACTGCCTGAGAGGTAACGAGGAAGCAGTCGTCTGAAGTTGACAGTAGACTCTGCAATTTGGCAGTCTCGAAAGAAGGAGTGCTCCATGTGCTGGAGCCATGTATAACCGCGAGAGGAAGTTCTCCCTTTGGATTGACAGCATTATTATTCAACAAGACCAGCTTGATTACATAAGACACCCTCAGCTAACTTTACGAAGTGGGCACGGGAACGCCTGCCGGCCACGTGCCGGAGCTCTCGTCGAGGTTCCGCCATACATCGAAACATGTCAAGATAGAACTCTGAGGTATTTGAGGTATTTGCGAGAGACTTGGCAAAAGAATTATGAGAGTTGTCGACCGATAGCGGACCTAATACATCCGCGTCTCTTCGCAATGATTATCAGCAATGGTGACATTGTGGGGCCGCGCGGGGAATAGAACGATAAATACCGGATGATGTCCCTAGATGCTACACATCGCAGAGACAGCACGTCTTAGAAATCATCTGCATCACGGACGACCCGGCTATACACTTCATTTAATACTTCTCTCAATATCTCGTCATTATGTCTTCTCAGAGCTCGAACCCGCCTCTCCTCGATCACATCGTGATCCTAGTTCCTCACCAAGTCCTCGCCTCCCTCCCCACCTGGCTCTCTACCGAATTCACCATCCTCACAGGCGGCCGCCACGCCGACGGCCTCACAGAGAACAAGCTCGTCATCTTCGCAGACGGCACATACCTGGAAATCATCTCCTTCGTCGCGGGCATCAGCCGAGAAGACCGCCTCAAGCACAAGTGGGGTCCGAAACCGGACGGCACCATCATCGACTGGGCCTACTCCCTCAAGGACGAGTCTGGCTTCGCCGAGATCCAGAAGCGGGTGCACGCCGCGCAGTCGCTGGCCGTGTACGAGGACCCCGTACCTGGCGGACGCATCAGGCCGGATGGCGAGGAGCTAAAGTGGGCCGTTGCGCTCCCGGATAGCGCTGCTGGAGCCGGAGCCGGAGCCGGAGCCGGAAAAGTGGAGAGGGGCGAGTTGCCGTTTTGGTGCTTTGACAGGACGCCGCGGAAGCTCCGCGTGCCGGATCACGTTCCGGAGAATGTAAAGCATCCGAATGGATCGCTCGGAGTTCATTCAATTTCGCTTGAAGTGAGCAGCGAGGAATTCAAGAAGGCGTACGCTGGCATCAACGACCGAGCGGCAGAGGATGGTGGCGATGGTGTTGGGCGGTGGACGTTTGATGTTCCCGTTCGTCAGTTTGACGATCCTAGATATCTCAACGTTGAAGCCATCTCTGGTGAGCAGGGGTCTAGACAAGCTATTCGCTTCGCACTGTATACCGCCGCGGGTACGACAAAGCGGTCTATCGGCGGCGAACTTGGCGGGGGCGTCTCTGTTGAGATTGATCTGGTCCCAGTGTCCGGTGGGTCCTCCTGAGCGTTGAAAAGAAAGTGGTGTGAGGCACGTGATACTTTAAGGTGTTCCCGCAGAAAGCATTATAGGGAGTTGTTTATAACCTGCAAAAACCTGCTGGATCTACCTTATCTTATGTAGAAAGAAATTCAAACGGAACTTTGATATCGCGCTCTTGACATGGTTGCGCCTAGCAGCCAGAAACAGATGTAATATTGCCTCAATGGCATCTCTCTATCTAAAACTCAATTTGCGGCATACCATCACGTATTTAAGACTTACCATTATCACGGAACGGAAGGTCAGAAGCTTGAATCATCGTCAAGTCCCAATCCGGAGCAACCTTCTAAAGGTCAAAACTTGGCTGCACTAGCCTGTAGGTTCGAGACAAGAAGGGCACCCAGCACCTATCAAGTCTAGAAGAAATGCCTTCGGCCTGGGAAGGTGCGGGTATATGTTTGGGGGGACAAGGCCTTCGTAGAGAGCCTCATCGGTCCAAAAGTTGAAAGAATGGGGAAATGATCAAGGTTTGGCAAATATAAGCTGGTCACAGCAATCCACAGGGTACAAAACTTACGGGTCTAGGCTCATCGGCGACACCGTGATTGATAGAGCACCTTGTGGGATCAGAGAACGTATATAGGCAGCCTTACACCCGATAAGCCAGATTGCGACCAAACTCCATGATTTCCTACAGAAGCCAATATTTCCTCTCTTTAATCAAAGGACAAGCAATATTCTCCTACTAAGCCGCCCCTGGCACTCGACTTCGACCCCCAAAGACGTTACAAACCTCGAAACCCTCTCCGATATTTATAAAGAACGAAATCTGTAGTTACATTACAGATGAGGCTCAACAATGATGCCGAGGAGTTCTCTCCTGAAGCGCCATCCAATAGTCATCAAGAATCATCAGACTCGAAAGCTGATTCTAAACCTGGACTGGATAAGAACACGCAGATACTCCACACCAGCGCATCTGTTGAGAATCTCCAGGACTCCCAAGATTCATCTCAAGCGCCGACCCCGACTACCTCCGAAACATTTTCCCTCGGAGAAACCTTTGATAGTCGAGAAGATTCATCGAGCCCAGTAGTCGGTGAGGAGGGAAGCCTGGACGATGACCACGAGACATTCTCACCACCCGCACTTGTTACGATGTTGACAATATTCTGTCTCTACTGTGTATTCGATTTCTGGGATAGGTTCTCGCGGAACTTCTTCACCAGCCACTGGTGTGAAATACTCTTCATTGCTGCGACAATGATTGCGCTGGCGTCAATATTCACTCCGCTTAAGACCGCGACCGGCCTTGGGTGTGTCGCCTATACCACTCTTCACTTTTGTATACGAAGACATTCTTTCTCCATTATCGGTGATTGGAACCGTTTTCCGTGGGACCTCAAACTCATCTATTACCTCAACGAAATTGATAGCATTGATCTCAAGTCCTCTTCATGGCAAGTTTAGTGGCCTGGTTAGGTCCCAGGACATGCCACATCGCCTTGAAGCGACATTTACCTGCTTGGACAAAGGAGTTACTCCCGCACTTCATCGCCAAGAACCTCCGAGGATGATGTTTTGGGGATTCGGAGAACCTAGGACTTGTGATGCCATTATGATGGTAGCACGAGTTAAAGGGGACGGGCCTATTCGAAATTTCGTTGAGAGGCAGCGACGACATTATGATCGTCACCAAAACACCATAATACCACTATCATTTATTGTACTGAATTTTTATTAAAGCGATACATGAATCTCAATCTGAGTGCAAAACAGATAGCCGTGCATTCATGTGGGATTATATTTTCTTAACGGGTTGATCTGCAACTTTGTGAAGCTCGCATACCGAGCTTAGTTATTGATCATGCTTGATTAAATGAATGGAGGTTTGTGATGGAGTCGCGGTGGACGGACCAAGCTCAGGATCACGATGGGATGGGACGCGACAGGTGGAGCATTGACAGGTAGTCCACAATAGCTAGCTTATTGCGCTAAGAAAATGGATCCAGGAACGAGGTCATGGCATCACGCATACATCATCACTCATGATCACGGAGATCGAATACTGCGAGGCCACAGATTTTGTGAGGAACATCTCATCTAGCAGGCTTGGGGGTTTTTCTCGGAATGAATGTAATGGACTTTCAGCGATCTGTTTGAAGTGCTGCACTAGGTCTCGTATTCGCGATATGAATTGACGCTGTATCACTGGGCTGTATTACCTGAGTGAGGCGTTGCGGCAGTTACTTCATGAGGCAAGCTTGATTCACCACATCAATCAACTGGGATTACAGTTTTTTTACTTTTTTGTCTATTATTTTTGAAGTAGTCATAACATCATATCCAGGACAAGAAACCTTTCAGTCTTCCGTATCCATGTGCTGTTGTTCCAGCCCGGTTTGCACAGAAAACGAGGCATTTACCGGCAGCAGTAACCACCGTCAATGACGATGTCGGCACCGGTAGTGTAGGTGCTAGCATCGGAGACAAGGTAGACGTAGGCACCCTTTAGCTCCTTGGCATCACCGTTGCGGCCCATGGGGATCATGCTCTTCCACAGGTCCTGGACCTTCTGCTCGACGAAGTCGGACAGACCAGTGTCAATGTAACCAGGGGAGATGGAGTTGACACGGGCAAAGTCGCGCCACTCGTTGGCGAGAGAGCGGGCCATGTGAATGCAGCCGGCCTTTGCGACGTTGTACGAGGTCTGCTCCTGGGGGTAGTTGGCGATGTGGCCGGACATGGAGGCGGTGATGACGAAGGAACCGGAGCCGCGCTCACGGAAGTGGGCGCCGACGGCCTTGGCGCAGTACGCGGTGCCGTTCAGGTCGATCTGGATGACGTGGTCCCAGGCCTCCTTGGTGCCGTCAATGACGCCGGCGTCGGCGGTAGCACCAGCACTGCAGAGGACAAAATCGTCAGTGACTTCCCTCGACACTGGAGAGTCGCGCGGGATTAGAAGGAGGTTCGGAAACTTACTTGGCGATGAAGGCATCAATCTTGCCAAAGTCGGCGATGATCTGCTTGGTGGTCTTCTCAACCTCGTCGTAGTCGCTGACGTTGAGCTTGTAGATCTTGACCTTGACGCCGTACTCCTTCTCGAGCTCGGCGGCGTTCTTCTCAGCCCCCTCCTTGCGGGAAGAGTAGGTGATGGCCAGGTCGGCACCCATCTCGGCGCAGCCGCGGGCAGCCTCAATGCCCATGCCGCGGGGGCCGGAGGCACCCGTGACAACGACGACCTTGCCCTTGAGGTTGAAGAGGTCCAAAAGACGGGAAGCGGTGGGAATGGACTGAGGCATATTGAAGGATTGGCGGTGGTGAATGTGGCTTGGTTGTAAAGGTTAAAGAGGCGTCTACAAAGATTGAAGAGAAGGCTTTTTTGGGTATCAAACTTTTTGGAATGAGAAAGGAGGAGAGGAAAAAGCTCGAGAGGATCAGCGGGAGAAAGGCAGCTTTGAATAGCTGAGAGGACGGCGTGCTTTGAGCCCAAAAAAAAAGACCGAGGGGTCAATAAGGTGGCATGATGGAGGGGTAGCTTTGGGAATTGGCCGGCCGTGACGGCATCCCGGGAACCCCGCTGATGTCATTGATACAGGCACACGGACTAGACGCCGGGGCTAAACACGGACCAATACTCAGCAATGAGGTTGTCAGGAATGCCTAGATACATGGGTGAACCCATGCTCTCTCCCTTCAAGTGCCCGCCAGTCTGGTGGATCTAGATTAATGGGACCCGGATGGGCCGCAGGTAGACATTGAGACAGTATTGCCGTACTCCTACGCATACCTAACAGAGAATAGTCTCGATATTTAGAATAATACTTTGTACTTGGTATGTACGAATCTGTATCTGAGTAATCCCACATGCGAGGACTGCAGTAAGATGCGCCATGCAGCTTGGACAGCTCATCAATCTGATCTTGGTCCTCGCTTGGCGCAACCCTTTCCTGCCGACTCCTAATCCAACCGCACTGACCGAGAATCGGGTAGAATTTGTCGAACTACAGTATTTGATATCTTCAGTCCGAATAAATGTAGAGACCTACGTAACTAAGTACGGCTGCTCGGTGAGTTTGTTCTTAGCTTATCACAAAAGGGGAAAAACCTGGCAACCAAGTTCTAGGCCTTAATGGAAAAACTACGCCGCCCAATCGGTCTCAAACTACATGGTTGCGGCCAAGAGTCCAGCTGGGAGATCCACAGAAGCCCACATCCAACCCACCCCGGCCCTGCAGCGCGCGCCATTAGTCAAGGCCTCGCATCGTCGATGCTGTCTTCAAGTTCCAGCTTCCCATGAGAGGGGCATTTTACCGCAGATAGCAGCGAGGAAGAGGGGGGCCCAACCTGCCCCACGCCCTCGTGGACGCGTCGTGTCCAAGTACTCTTCGTGTACACTCCATCGAGTCTGGGAACTCCTGTTGGTGCGGAGCTGGGCAGCCGGGCGCGGAGGCATGTCGGTGAGGGGGAAGACACGGAGTATGGAGCGTGGGGTTCGGGTCGCTGCGGGTGGGCTACGGAGACTCTGAAGTTTGACCCTCCAACCACCGGTCCGCTGCTTGGTTCACCATTCGAGGCTCTCACCACAGTTCCACTTCACACCAGACATGGTGGTCTTCGCACAGCTGCGGGTACCGACTCTGCACGGTCGAGGGGGAAACATGTTGGAGATTTGGAGGGGAGCGTCCAGTCGACCCATACAATCCCGGGGAGAGCCCAATTGTCCGCGCGGGGTGTCTCGTAAGTGAGCGATATTCTCCTCAACAAGAGGCCCTCACGGCCGTCTGATCTGATCGCCGTGACAACCATTTCATGTGCATTCGACTCTCAATGCTCCACATCGGAGACAATCCGGGACGACTTCAACTGCAGGTGAATTCGCCAGGCAGTTGTAACCGAAGACTTTCAGTCACGCCGAAGTCATCAACCAGCGTGGTCCGACCCTCTCGGCCCGTTCGGAGACCGGGCGAAATTAGCTTATCTCGTGACCTTAAACACGACTTCGAACGTTGTTGCCAACAAGAAACCCTCAACGTCCCCGGAATGGCTTAAACAAGAAGGAAGAATCAGATTAAATCTCTGTTGTCGCCATTCACTCGATATCTAATTTCACACTTTCCTCTTCTCTTTCCCCCAAATCTCACCCCTTAGCATTCATTCAGATGATCCTACCTAAGGTGCAGTCTTGAATCGCTGGACACAAATTTGAGTATCAATAGAAGTCAATCATGCCTATCAAGGTGGAATTCGCCCACATCAACTCGAACGCCCCCAAATGCTTGTGCAGGTGTACATGAACTCTCCTGACGCCTCTTCGATTGAAAACACATCATGACTTTTCCCGAGCCAAGTAGAGCAGATTCTTAAATAAGTCGATTCTTCACCATTTGTGAGACCATAGCGGCCGCTGATGAGCGGACTGTTCGTTCAATTTTGCAGCCTCAAGTTATTCAGTGTTCTTTCAACAACACCGCCCTTTTTAAATCCGGGAAGAAAACACCGGGTTGTCTCCTCCTCTTCCTCGTCTCCCTCAAAGAAGCCAGCAATGCCTCTCTACAGTGTTCTACTCGCCTGGGCAAAGATGTGGCTCCGTCGACGAAGAGGACAACCATGGTCGCCACGCACAAGTCTCTTGGAAGAAGCCAGGGGTTCAGTCATGGTCCTCCTCTGCGCATGCCTCTTCACCACAATTCTGGTAATCATGACCTTAATGAGAGTATCCTCGGAGTCAAAAGAACCCATCGCCTGGATGGCGGACCTTTTGATCGTCCTGGTTCTCACGCAAACTGGTTACGCAGCGGTCTTTAGCATCCACAAATGCATTCTTCCCCCGCCTGGTCTCATTGGCGGTATGGTCTACTTCTACTGGTTCACCTGGATCGGCTTGCAGGCTCTCAGCCTCTTTACCATGCGGCACGCTTTGCACGAAGACTGGTCGCAGGATACCAAGTCCGTCGCTCTCGCCTGGCTGCTCATGAGCGCGGGATCCATCCTGATATGGACATACGTATTGGTCTGTTTAAATGTAGGGAGACACCAATGGGGGAGGGCGTTGCGATATGGCACGGCTAGTCACCTTCTGGTGGTGCAGATGGAGGGGGGAGAGCGAGCCATTGACATGGAAGCGGCCGTGAGCCCGGTTCAAGCACCACCATCCGTTGTCGTGAGGGAAGTGAAAAACGGAAATTTGCGGTCGAGCTGACTCGGAAGGCATCGGGACCGACTGTAGTTCGGAAGCAATGAAGAGAACGATTGATCCATCACGACATATATGATATGTGCCAAATTGGCTGCTTGGATTGGACATAAAAGTTTGTGTTTGAAGTTTGGAAGTTTGAGCACGCAAGAAATCTCAGTCCACGCTTGGCAGGGGGTATTTTAGCGAATTAATATTTAATAAAAAAATCAACCGAGAATCCCGAACATGAGGATGCTTTTTCATCCTCAAGTACAGCAATTTGGATTGAGAGTAGTGATGAGCAGTTCTGGAACGTATTGTAATTTGAAATCTAATCCCAAGCGCTCACTCGAAAGGTAGAACATCTGCATGGTGGCAGCATCAACGGACGTGTCATGGTACCAAACGAAATCTCTTGCAGGAACTATGACTACTTCTCCAAATCTTCTTGAAAACAGTCTTTTATAATTCTTAGCCTCCATAGAACATCACATGGACTTTTGAACCAGAAATCGAGATCCGTTGTTTCTAAATTGAGGTTGGACGTCTCTATTGTCAACGTACCTCATATGATGTACCTAATCTTAGCAGACGCATACTCCTGATTTCTACTGTCGGGTTGAAACCCCACAACTTCTTCAGTGTCGCTGACGGATTTCTACTTCTTGAACTCCAGCTTTCTCGGCGTAGTCAACATCACGCACGATCTTGACATCGCCAAAGATCTCATCAATTTCTTCCAAGGATTTTCCTATGAGTGGAATGTAAGCTCCTGCCCGTGTACGGTGGGTTACAATGTTTATACCTCTGGTCTCGGGATAGAAGAACGCAAAGACGATAGCGCAGAGAGCGTTGGTGAGGATGAAAAGTATCTGAGCCTTCAAATCAGTAGACAAACTCGTCAAAATATGATTTGAGCATAATCAACGTACGTAGTACTTCCAGCCAACTGCGGCCAGAGCAATTGGCGAACACTGCGTAATGATAAGACTAATGGAATAATGAATGACCTGGACTATGGCGTTCGCTTTGGCTCGGAGCTCCGTAGTGAAGACTTCAGGTCTATAAACCTGTCAACACGGCATTTCATATAGAGACACTCGGAATGATACTCACGGAATGATCCATGTCATGGGTCCCAGGAGGGCAGAATAGTTGGCTGAAACAGCGAAAATACACGCAATGAGACCGCGCTGGGCCGCCTCGTTGGTTGGATATCCGGGTCTTGCAGGGTAAACCGCTGCTAAAATGGTGATGATCGAGTAACAAAGCGACAATAGAGACGAGCTCACGATGAGAATCTTCCTTCGACCGATGCGATCGACGAAGAACAGCGAGATGAAACATGCCACGGGCGCCACAGAACCATAGAGACCGCTGACGAGAAGTTGCTGATCCTGGCTGAACTGCAGCGTGGCATAGATGGCCGTTTGGTAATATTGCACAAACGAAATGCCAGAAAGCATCGCAGCAGCCCACACGAAAGAGCCGACAAAGAGACGTTTGCGGAAAGCTGGCGTCTTGAATAGGTCGCCCCAGGATAGTCGACCCTGAGCCTGTAACTCCTCTGCAATATTGACCTGGATGATGGTAAACTCGTTGCGGCACCAGTCGTCATTGGATCCATCGTAGTGGTAGTTGCGGAAAGCTTTTTCGGCTTCCTCGTGTCGACCTTTTAGACAGAGCCACCTGGGCGATTCGCCGAGGAAGAGTACGCTGATGCCCAAGACCAAGGCGGGGACGCTCTGGATGGCGAAGCCGAGCCTCCACTGATTAGGACTTTGCCATTTGCCTTCGCCGACGCCGGTCCAGAGAGCAACGAAGAAGCCCCAAGCGACCACTTTATCTCATTAGCATGCGTGACGAGAGACTTGCCATTGACGCTCCAACTTACTCATTTGATTGACAGCTGTGATCCTGGCCCTTTCGTGTGTCTAGCGAACATCAGCTTCTGGCGAACTTCGAGATACGTTCGTAGAGTGATGCAACCTACCTTTGCAATTTCTGCTCCAAATACTGGAGCTACGCCAGTGATTGTGCCGACTGCAAAGCCAACTAGCAGTCGGCCCATGATGACTGACTCTTATCAGCATTACTTTTCATGTGATTCACATTTCAGATTTACATACGCATAGCGACATGGGCAGCACCCGCCATCAAGGCACCGCCGATGACGCCCCATACGCAGCCAAAGGCGATGGCTTTACGGCGGCCAAACTTGTCGCTGGTAACACCAACAGATGCACTTCCAAGCCATGCTAGTAAAATCATTAGACGAATAGATGTTGCCGTTCTCAGAGCAGACCATACCTCCAGCTTGATATACTGACACAATAGCACCTCGAAGAGGAGCATCAGGGTTTCCAAAATATGCGAGAAAAGATTTGAGCGCCAAGCTAGGTGTGATGATTCCAGAATCACTACGTTTCTGTGTGAGAATGTAGTTGATAAGGTGTTATTGTTGCGCAGAAAGACTCACTACCCATAGAGAAACCCTCCTATGCCAAGAAGGATCGACGTCAAGAATGGCTTGCTCAGCCAACCGGAACGTTCAGGTTTCATAGCAGAGATGTAAGTGAAGCTCAAGTCTGCACTTTGGTGAAGGTTTGGAGTCCTGAAGTATTCTCAAGTATTATACAAGCAGGGAACATCGATCGTTCGAATCCGGGGCTACAGGGACTTCCTAGACTTTGTACTTCATCTTCCATGTCCTTCATCTCACTCGAACAACTGCCGCGGTGATGCTACCATAGACCAGGGTATGATTATCCGCCATCCAACCAAGGCCTTTGTAAGTTTGGAGTCAGCAAGAAGCATGCATGGGCCGCTTCGTTTCGGGGGTGGTTCCCCCACACGCATTTTGCTTCCCCCGCGTAACCCACGTGCAGCTCTAAACCCAGACTGCGGGGTTATCAAGGGGAGTTTTCCGTATCGTGACTTAATTTTCCCATGACTGTCGAGCGGGAAGGATTGAAAAGACCCATATGTGGCTTGCTGAATTGTCTTCGCCAAGATCGGCAATTGTGAGAAGAGTCGAAGTTGAAGCGCTAGCCGCTCGACTGACTGTCGAAAGATTGAATAACCTCGGGTTTGATCACTATCTAGTGCTGTTTCCCCCCTTCGAGCCCATATGTATCCCCGGCTAAGTCTTTTGAGATAACCGAAGAAAGATTGGCGACTCAACATCTATGTATGCGTGTCTTGAAGCTACAAACTCATTACCCCGGTCCACCAATAGTCAATCGCTTCATCATGCTCATTGACATTCTCGCCTACTTGGCGGTGATTGCTGGAGTCTCTTACCTAGCTCTCACATTCCCCCGGGTAAGAAACCTCTTTCCTGACAGGCTTTACTTACTCGACAGTGTCCTGACTTCGTCACCTCGAATAGCTACTGCAAGAATGGAAGCTTTACTCACATCGGTCTCAACTTCCCCCAGGCCCCAAGGTCATCAAGACAGGCATCCGAAAGCCATGGCTCTGGTTCCAGGAATTGAGTAGAGAGTATGGCGATGTCGTCTACCTTCAGATGGGCCCGACGCCAACCATCGTGCTCGGCTCAGCCCAAGCGGCGTGGGACCTCCTCGAAAAGAAAGGCTCAATTTTCTCATCACGCCCGCGCTTTATCATGGGCGGTGAGCTTCTCTCCGGCGGCATGAGGGGCCTGATGGCCTCTTACTCCCCTTTTTGGCGGCGATGGAGAAAGCTCCTGCACAGCGGCTTCATGCAGCGGCAGAGCGAGACGTACCGGCCGGTGCAGAGTCTGGAGTCCAAAGTGCTTATGCATGAGCTTCTCACGAGTCCCGAAGACTTTCGAAGGCACCTTGAACGATATGCGGCCTCTGTTATTGTGACGGTGACGTACGGTAGGAGAGTGGAGGACATCGCCACTGATATCGTTGTCCGACGCAATGCTGAGTCAATGGGACGTCTGACCTCGGTCAAGTAAACTTCCCCTCCTTCTTCTTCTTCTTCTTCTTCTTCTTCTTCTTCTTCTCGAGTCCTCTGTAGACTTGGCATTTCTGACGATTCTTTTCGGCATGTAGCATTCCTGGAAAGTTTGCCGTGGAAAGATACCCTGTTCTCAAATACGTCCCCAGCTTCTTAGCTCCATGGAAAGCCGAGGTCTTAAAACAACGACAAAAAGATGTTCAGATGTACACCGAACTTATGGACGAAGTCCGCGAGAAAATGTCCCGGGGCGTCGCGCCAGAGTCCTTCGCAAAACACCTGCTTCAAGAACAAGTCAGCCTCGGCATGTCAGACCTCGAAATAGCGTACACAGCAGGTTCACCGTTCGGAGCCGGCGTCGAGACAGTAAGATACATCCCCGTTCCATGATGCGTGCTCATGTTAAGACCCGACATAACTAACAAACCAATGTCTCAAGTCGGCCGGGTCTCTAGCCAGCTGTTTCCTGGCTTGTGCCAAGTTTGGCCCGCAGTTCATACCAAGAGCGCAAGAGGAACTCGACAGAGTCGTCGGAAGCAACCGGCTGCCCACGTTTGATGATCTGAATAGGCTTGAGTATGTTCGTGCCATAGCTGCGGAGACGTTACGCTGGCGACCTGTCGCCGTGCTCGGTGGCACTCCTCATGCGAGCACCGCGGATCATGTCTACAAGGGCATGTTCATCCCAAAGGGCAGCACCGTTATCGCACCTTTGTGGAGCAGTATGTATAGCCCGAGGTGCTCTTCATCCCATTTAGTACTCTGACTTATAACGTTCTAGTTCATCTCAACGAAGCGGACTTCCCAGAACCCCATGAGTTCAGGCCTGAGCGTTTCTTGACTCAACGCGAATATCCTGGCACATTCGGCCACAGTGCCTTTGGTTGGGGTCGCCGAATCTGCCCGGGCATGCACCTTGGATCTGCTTCCGTAGCCCTGAATATCGCGAGGATACTTTGGGGGTTTGAGGTCAACCCCAAAATGGATGAGAAAGGCAGGGATGTTGAGGTGGACATGTAAGTGCCAATCCTACCCCTGAGCGCTTATAGATCCGAAGTTGACTTGATGGATGTACACGCAGCTTCGCATACTCGGATGGCTTCAATTCGAGTCCACTACCATTCTCTTGCTCAATTACGCCTAGGTCTCTGAAGCATGCTCAGGTGATTGAGCAGGAGCACGTGGAAGCATTGAAAGCGTTGAGAGAGTATGCCGTGATTGGGAGCAAGTTATCTTGAGCCGTTGAGAGCGCTCCAGGTTTGTATCACTGTAGTAGTATATCCGAGATCAACACTAGGTTTCACGTTCACAAGTTTCCAATTTGACATTACTTCTATTTATCTTCTGCTCCGTCTACGCCACTGCAAAGTCCTCAAATACAAAAGGTAGTTTCCAATACCTCAGGTCATCAAACTCCGCCTCAGAGATATACTCTCGTGTATTAATCGTCAGAGCCCAGTCAACATCAGGCCTACTCGAGGCAAAAGTCCGCGCCCCAACCACCGTCCCGTCCCGCTCCGCAAACGGCGACCGGCCGCCGGTGCCACTGACGGCGTGTGAGCCGATGAACCTCGCCACCGTACCCGCACTCGCCGCTAGCGAGAAAGCACCTGCGCATTCCTCTTTGATTGCCCCGTCACCGCCGTACGGACCCGGCACGAGATGGTAAGATTGTGGTTCTCGCGGATCGTAGCCCGTGTACTTGCTCTCCTGGATGATGCGGTCTCCAGCATGCTTCTCCGCAGCCGTCTCGTACAGACGTACGTCTAGATCGCCGAAGATGTTGTCCTTCAAGAAGTCGAGGTAGGGCGTCGCCGTGATGTTGCTGACGATGTAGCTCAGGAGCATGGTCCCATAGTTTGAGTAGGCGTAGTCTGTGCCAGGGGCGAAGTCGAGCGGGCGGGCGACCTGGTATTCGATGACGTCCCGCAGCGTCGCGGCACGGGTGCCGTTGAACAGGGTGATAGCAATCTCACGAAACAAGAAACTCGGGTCGCCGGACCGATCGCGATTATACCCGGACGTGTGTGTGAGGAGGTGATCGATGGTGATATCCTTTGCGCGGGCGTCTGCGAACTCGTCGTATCCGAGTAAGGGGTACGCGGCCGTGGAGTAGTTGAGCTTCCCAGCCTCGATGAGGTTGAAGATGGCCGCGTGAACGAAGATCTTGCTTACGCTTGCGAGGAGGAACATGTCGTCCGTTTCAACGGTGGGTCGGTCAGTCTCTGCCCAGGTATAACCGCGCTCGGCAATGGTCGAGCCGTTGGACGCGATAGCGAGTTGGGCCTGGCGAACGCCGTTCTTCTTCATCCAGGCCTGCATTGCGGCGTCGAAGGCCGTTGTGGCACCTACGTTGTCCTTGAATCCCTTGAAGGAGCCGGTGGCCGTCCACTTTCGGGGCTCGGGAATGTCTTTTTCAGCGAAAATGACGGCAAAGCGAACGTCTTTTCCGGAAGCACCCCCGTGAAGGTCGATCGGGTGAAGGCCCTGCTGCTTCTGCAACTCAATTTGAGAAGACAGCTCTTCGGCAGTGAGGTCGTTCGTAGCTACCCACTTGCCAACGGAGGTGTCCACGAACTGAGGAGTAACGACGTGATCGTCTGAAAGAAATAGGCGAGAAGGTCTCCAGAAGCGCTTCGCTGTTTCTGAGTCATAGATCTTGGGATAATCGACGGTGTAATTACCAGATGAGTAGAAGATAGTAGACATCTGATTTCCGACATTCTCATGGCCCAGAACGCAGTAGCGGCGGTCTGAGGGGGCACCGTACATGCTGAAGCCCTTCACAACCATGTCGATACCATTTGTCGCATTGTCAAATTCATAGGGGCTGTTGAGACCGCAAAGTTGTGTCCAGTTGGTGACATTGGCTTTCTCCATGACGCCTGCGTAGATGGCGCTGCCAGCAGGTCCCGTGACGGAAATGTGCGTCGGTACATAGCCCTTGGACTTCCATGAGTCAAACCAGTCGTCGTATGTCGCCTCGTCTGCACCGTAGATTGTCTCAAAAGGGTTTCCATCCCGCTGTACCCAGACGGCGGCATACTTTGCATCCGGCGCTGTGCCATAGTTGCTCAAGGATATCATACGGTAGCCATCGGCAATGAGAGACTTGACCTTGTCGCCGTGCGCTGCGCCATTTAGATTGAAGTAGGTCTGAATGTCGCCAGAGGTGTCGTTGGCCTGGCGTCGTTCGGTTGGTATCGCATGAGTAATGGGGCAGAATAAAAGGCACGAAGTCAAAAGACCGAAGAACGAGTGAGGGTACATATTGAACGATAGCAAGCTGCCCAAAGGCAAGCGGACAACGAATTCGTATATCGGTCTTTCGAGCAGTCGCTGTCAAGACATCCCCTCTAGACCGCGACCCAAAGGGACTTCCTCACGTCTTATTCATTGCCTACAGATATCCACATGATTCCTATTATTAGAGTGTCACTTTTGAATACGGTGATCCCCTGACGATACGAGATGAACCCCGTCCATGCTCCCCATAATGCCGCGCTCGGCAAACGGTGGACAGCCGACAGCCCCCTTGACCCTGGTCCGATCTCCCTGGAAGCCCGGTCCATTTGGCCACATTAGGCAATGAAGCCATGGCGGGCTTTGAAGAAGACTTCTCTCGTGGTGGGATTGCCTGATATCCCCTGCCTTTCGCGTATTTCTCAACGGCAAGGCCGATTCTTAACCATTGATGTAAAGCAAGAATACACCACTCCGTACTTTATTTGAATTTTTGACAGCAAAAGAGCGTGAAGGCATTTTCATCGTTTAGACTCCACCAAACAAAACATGGGGGATTGCAGGTTGCCAAGACAGAGTAAATTGGCCTCCCAGGTTGATGTATCCCAGTAATATGCCCCATATATCAAGTTAAACTCGACGTCGCCGTTTCAGCACCGCGTGCACATTGTCTCTCTTTGACAGGTCTTAATAAAAAGTAGTATGTGTATAAACATAATCCACAGCAAATAATATCAACTTTCCTTTCTGTTCCAAACACAAACGCTTACCAAGATCACTTCAGTTCTTGGCTACACTACTTGCCAATATCGGTACATGCAACCAAGGGCGACTTAATGTTTCAAACAAGACGTAAACCAAGATGTTGCAAGTCAACCCTGGCAAAAGTCCATGATGACATGTTCTTACTCGCGGATTGTATAACCATCTGCCACAACGGCAAAAGGTGAGAAAGGTCCATCCAGGATTCGAACCTGGGCTTACGGAAGTCTTTTGAAGCGAAGCTTTCATCAGAATCCGACGTCCTAACCAACTAGACTAATAGACCAGTGAAAGCGAGTTGATACGCCCAGTGGATATGGAAGCGGCGGCTCATAATTATGATTATGGAGTGCGTCTTTCTTGTGGGAAGAAAGACTCTGAAGCCCTCGTTGTGGATGTGGTGGGGATAATGAGGGCGGGGCCGATTAGTCTGGCGCGACTTTCGAAAGTCGGCTGGAGGGGATATCCTGGTCACGAACCCCACGTCCATAAAGACTTGGTAATCGTGAGGACGAAAAGGGCAGGGTATGGGATTCTGATCGTAGTATTCCGTGATTCCGAGTTGTGGTCTTGAGATATTAAGAAGGACTTGCTTGAAGTCAAAGAGAAACGAGGAGCAAGGGCGGTTCAGACAGTCTACATAATTCTGAGTGAGTGAGAACCACGTAAGAAAGCAGGCTAGACACCTTCATCTGTGTTGACAATGGACTAAAATAGGTTTCGTGACAATGTGGATGTATCTACAGCTTCAGCCTAGACACTGGACCAACTCTAGGTTAGCCAAAAATCTAAGCCATTTCTAAATCATATGTACTGCTTCAAAGTATAGACAATGGAACCCGCCACTCCTCCAGAGTCTCACCGAGACTCTCTCCATATTCCTCCCCAACAACCCCCTCAACACCCACTCGTCTTAACATTCGTAGCAACACACAACTTCCCATCCGGCCCGCTCGAAACCAACTTGGGCTCCGCACCGCTACTATTCCCCTCAAAGTTCTCACACACCTGCGCGCCGCCCAGCACGCACGAGTCCCTTACAATCGTCCCATCACCTAAATTTCCGTTGACGCCGCTCAGGACCTTGCCGCCGTCGAGCCGAATATTGTCAAAGGTCGAGTGCCGCGCCACCTGCGTCTTGCAGTTGCCGCAGCTGCGGTACATTTTGCTGCAGTTCTTGCAAAAGTAGTTCTTGACGGCGACGGTACCGCCGCCGTCGTGCTGGAGGACTTTATCGGCCGCGTCTTGGGCGCCGCCGCCGTTGACGTAGGATGTGCCAGACGTTTGGCGGAATGTGATGGCGTCTTCGCAGACTTTTTGGAACCAGCTTTATGTATTAATGTCAGTGGCTGAGCTTGAGAAAGAAGATCACGTTGAAGAGGGAGTAGGGCAGGTGAGCTTGGGACAAGGTTTTGACTTACACGTTGTTGATGGTACAACTCCCCAAACAGTGAATCCCCTCGCCATTGTTAGGTCCAATAATCACGTTGCTAATCGTAGCCCCTTCCTCGAGGATAAACACCGCGTCCTTGTTCCCGCCCTCGGTCTGGCCCTTGCAGGTACTCGGACTCCGATCCCACATCACCATGCCGCCGTCAAACGACTGGCCCGCAGCAATGGTCTTCACGGCAGCAATGTTCTGCGACCCCTTGGCCGTCGGGAACGTCGTCTGCAGTTCCGTGTTGGCGCCGCCAGAAGTCGTCCCGTTGCCTGCCGCGGAACCACCCCCACCACCGCCGCCACCGGCAGCGGACCCGGAACTCGGCGCCGTAGTGCCCTTTGGCGCATGAGCTGGGACGCTAGAGTGCGCTTTCGAGCCCTTGGAAGAACCACCGCTCCCCTTATGCGACGTCTTGGAGCCGCTCTTTGAGCTGGTGGTAGGCGAGGCCAAGCCAAGGGTGGAGAGGCAGAGGGCCAAGACGAGGAGGTTGTTTCGGATGTACATTGTGAGTCTAGCTCGTAAAGTGGACTATCTCGAGGTGAGATGAAATGAGATGGTGGTATTGAGGGTGAGGGGGTAAGTGGATGATAGCGTCTTGGCTATGACGAAAAAAGCGGTTGGGATGAACTTGATGAAGAGTCTTGGCTCTACTATATGGGAGATTCTTGGTGTGTTGATAGAACCAGCTGTCATATGAGACGACCCAGCCGTTAAAGCAAAAAATATATAAAACGAAACGAAAAAGAGTTATTGTGATCTTATTTGCGAAAGCTCTTGAAAGCTGTTGATGATGAACCAAGTCCAAAAAACCCAAAGGACCAGCGAACTCTATCATCTTTATATCCAGAATTTCTACTTGTTTCTTGTCTGCAAACTGCCCGCTGTCAATCGCCAACGAACCCCTATCCTCCCACTTCTCACACTCAAAGTTCAATCCACAGTCCATCTTTGGGTTGAGAGTCCGACTTTCCCGCGAACCCGAGCCCACGTGCAACGATGGCAATGCGCTTCAACAAAGAAGCACGTTCCTCACAAGAATAGAAAATCTATCCAAGATCGTTGGCGCGCTTCACGTAAGGTACACGCCCCCAGTCGTTCTGAAACCCGTGCGCATTAAGCTTTCTTCTGACAAGTCAGATAGAAGAAGTGAGGGCCCATGCTAGGACTCTGGAGCAGATGGACAAAAAACTGGGAAAGATACTATCTAGTTCGTCAGGGTACTGCACCAGATGAACGGGATGACAGTAGTGGACAATCAACTCAAAAAAAGCTTATACCAAACCCACCAATCACCCTCAGCCCCTATTTAATCCCAATACCGTGGGATACAGTGTCCCGGCAAGAATCTCAATCTAAACGACGTCTTATGTTCTTAAAGCAAGACTTTTATCCCACACGGACCTCTATCGCGTCCGAGACTACCCATCTAGCCCAGGGATACACCCCCCCAAGAAGAGCAGCTCACGTCAACTAACTCACCAGCCATACCCGGGTTCCTCCCGTCAACTTCGGCTGAGTAAGGCAGCCTCGGACTCCGGGACTCGTGGGATGCAATAGCTAATATGATCCCGTCATCTATCTCAAAAAGGAGAAGAGGGACGTGCGGCGATTCTGAAGCATAACCATAATATTCTTCAAACTGCCTCTCAGTGGGAATTCGGCCAACATCCCACCACCCGCTACTCTCTGCATGATCCTCCCCATAACTCGGAACATGTATCCGAACTATTTGCGTTCGTTCTTGTTAGCCTCGTGGGAGGGGGACCATGTGCCAGTGCCACACATGCCATGCGTTCTTCTTGACACCTCCCATTCATCGCCTCGTTAGTCCGTCCCTCCCTTACATCGTATCTTCTTGCCCATCATCATGCTCGGAAGAACTACAGGCATAAATTTGTAGATCATCATGCCGAACACTTCGGAACATGACATCGCGTGGTTTGGAAGGATTTCAGACTTGATCGTAAAAATTATTTACTTGAATCAACCACTCACCCAGCGCCTTTATTATTCCGTTTCTCCGGCCCCGTCCCTTTCGGCTTGCCGCTTTCCCCCAACCACGCCTCCTCTTAAAGTTGTCTCCATGCTGCCCGCGGAATCTCTAGACGATCACCTTCTCTGCTGATATGACCCTTGCTGGTACGCCCCCTGCTGTTGCGGCCGCTGTTGTTGATGCTGCTGTTGCTGCGACTGCTCCCTCCTAATCTGCCTTTCAAACCTCTTTCCTTCCGTCTTCGCGTCCTTCTCCCCGTTGAGGCCAACCCTCTTCAGCTCCTCCTTCACCATTCCCACAGCCTCGGCTACTACATCGTCGCCCCTTCGCCAGGTATACAAAGCTACCCCGTGCGACTCCAAGATCTCCTGGGCCCGCTGCAGTCGACGCATCCACAGCTCGTGCTTCCTATTCGGAGCCGCCGCCGTTGGCCCCAGGCTCGGGCTGCCGTACGTCGGGGATGTGGATCCGGACCTTAGACTGGCCGTCTGCGCTCTCACAAATGGCGGTGGCTGAACTTGCTGTGGACGGGAAGCGGCGGAGGGCGGCAGCGCTTCGAAGTCGATGTCTCCGTTAGCCGATAGTCTCCGCCGGCCGTCGAGGCTCCGAGGGCTCAGACTACGGGAGCTAGAAGCTGTCCCCCCACGCCGAGGCGGTGGAGGCGCCGGTGCAACTTTGCTTGTCTTACTAGCGTCGTTTTGTGACGTGGTAGCTGGTACCTTGGCCATACTCGGCAGGCTCCTGTTACTTCCGATCGTCTGTTGAGATGAGTTGTGCATTTGCGACAGAGGGTGAGGGTTGCTCCGGTCTGCAGACGGCTTGCGAGCACTCGGCATCGGGGGAGGCGTCGCACCCATGCTGTTGACTTTAATTGTGGGCACATTGGTATCAGACGGAGCGCTGCGAAGCGCAGCTGGCTTGTTGGGTCGTGGCGGAGGGGGCTTGCGGCTAACAGCAATGTCGGTGGCGCTTGAATGTGGCTTCGGTCTGGCCTGGATCTGGGCCAGGGCAGCAGCGTCGTTCAGCGTGGTCTCTTCAGGTTCGTCGGAAAAGTCGATCAGATCGCCCATGACAGGCCCGACCGTCTTTGCCTCGCCGCGTGGAGGAAGCCCAGGACGGTTCGTCGGAACATCGCTGTGGTCCGTGGCCTTGGATATTGAGCCCCTCTGACGTGCGCTGCTACTCTCGAAAGATGTATCAAAGTACCCAGCTTGCTCCGGCGTTGTCACATCGCGGATAAAGATGGCGATGATGCGTCCTGGGTGGGCTTCCACTAGCTCTGTGTACACTTCCAGATCTGCCTCTCCGCTGTCACCAACTAGGAGAAACCTGCGTTCGGGGAAGTCGTGCATGAGCCTGGTGAGGGTACTCTTCTTCCTCTCCGCAACCGGCTCGAAGATACCCTGCAGCATGCCACTGTATTGCTTCAAATGAAGTGATCCAGGCGGCAAGCCGGCTATCATGAAGTAACTGGCCAGTACCGGGAAAAGCTGCCAGGGGCTGTTCGAACAGTAGTGCATGCTGACCCCCATTGAGTGTAGCTCGTTGTACCATTCCCGAACACCTTCCACCGTCAAGTCCTTGAGCTCGCGGACAAAAGTGTTGCGGAATATCTCCTTTGCGCCACCCGAAATGTTGGAGCGCTTAATCGTGTCGTCAATGTCACTGATCAAGCTAACACCCTTCGGTTCGATGATCTTGACTTCCTGGGTCGCCGACAAGTCCTCATTAGCGAGGACGCGGACGTGCGTAGGGACAAATTCCAAAGCGGCGCGTAGGATGAAGTGGCCCGCGTCATTAGTCTGCACAGTCCGTGACGCCGATTTCTCGTCATTGTAGAAGAAGACAGTGATGGGCAGCTGGACTAGAGGTGTAGTCATGAAAGGCGCTATCCTAGCCATTAGGTTGGCATTCGCGACAGACAGCTCGGCATCTGTCAGATCATTACCCGTAGTGTTTGTCCTAGTCGGTGCCAATTTGGGAGACCCAGGAGCTGTCATTGGCGTCTGCGTGCCACTTCGTGATCTCGATCTCGCTCGGTATATACTATTCGCATCATCGTCGGATCCGTCCTTTGGCGCTTCGCTAAAGCCACCTTGACACGCCACACGCCGTTCTTCTTGGCCTCTCTTCTCGATTTCTGCTGCTTCCTTCGCAATCTTTTCTTGCTCTCTTCGTTCCTCGTGTGATTGGTGTAACGCAGAGAGATTATCGGGCGCAGGGGCATCCTGTCTGGGAGCGGGGATGCCGCTTAGCTGACGTGCGAGGCCGATGAGAATGCGGTTGCGCCGAGTGATCGGCCCTTTGTGCGGGGAGTACACCCATCCCCTGACGTCGATGTCCACGATGGCCTTCTCGTCTTCATTACGCTCCCACTCTTTCCTCCAAAACTCTTGGTCCCTAGCGCTGCCAGGCTCTTCTTCGGCGTGCTGCTGGTATGTCGCCGTCCAATCTTGCTTGACATGCCTCTTTGCGTACGATGGGAAAATGACCATCTGGTCATCTCCCTGAACAGTGATGGCAACGTCAGGGAACGATCCCGGAATTGTGGTCCTCGGCATACCCTCACCCGGCTCCAAAGGCCTTGCCCGCGTCTGCGCATAGCCTTCCCTGATCTCGTTGACTCCTACCGCAGCGGCCCGGTACATGCTCCCTGCCTTCGCCGCCAGCCATTTCCGCCGGAACCCTCGCTCGCCTGGAGTGGGTGGATCTTCTGCCGAGCCATAACCATAGCCATTACTGCCATTACTAGCGCCTCCTGCGCCTCCGCCCCCGCCTCCGCCGTAAGTCGTCGTGTAGTCTGAGAAGGTGGGCATCTTCTTGCTTATAGTGCCTCCTCGCTCCCTCGCATGCCGCTTCGGCCTGACCGAGGGCGGGCCCAGGAGCAGCCGGCGACTGTGCCGCGCAAAGACGTCGACGAGTCTCGACTTCTCGTTTCGCTTGCGTTGGCGCTCGAGGATGTATCGGTAGATGCTGGACTGAAATCGGTGTTTAAGCTGCGGGAGGGTATCGAGGCGAAAGTTGAGAACGCGCTCGCGGTATCGATCTCGTACGCTTCGTGGGAATAAATATCGGAGGAGACTCGTGCGGTTATGAGGATGCGGACTCGGCGGACCAAATCGCCCGAAAGGAGCCAGCTTGTTCGTAGTTTGTGCCTTGGACAACAGGTCCAAAGACAATAACAGGAGTGAGTGGAACCGGCCCTGGGTTTTGGAGTATTATGGAAGGATGAAAGTTTGAGCTAGGTAAGAGGTTTGACCAAGGTCGTTGGAGAAGCCGAGGCGAATGAGGTAAGGCGATGAGTGCACGATGTTACGAGGCTGGCAGGCGACAGCGTCTTCTGACCCCCACGCTCTACAGCTGATGAAGGGACGGCAGAGGGTGATGGAAGCACATGATCTCGCGCGGCTCTGGGTGGTTTTGGAATTTGGTGCGAACTGGTTTGTTGAGGAGAGGAGCGGGAGCACGCGGCGAGGTAAGGGGAGAAGTTGAGCTCGTGACGTTGCGGGAAGGCGAGGTCTCAGAAAGTCGAGCTAAGTTGAGTTAAGGTAGGCAGGCGTACGGGTAGTCGTACTGGCGCAGCTAGGTGCCGCGGCGCCGTGCAGATTTGGTTGGGGCTCGAGGGGCAGATGCGACAAAGTGTCAGAAAGCGATTTATGCGGAAATAAGAAAGGTGCAAGCAGGCAAGTAAGCTCTCTCTCCTCTGAGCTAAGGCATCCCACAATCCACATGCATCCCCAGGGCTCCAGCGGCGAGCCAGCCAGCTTTTAGCCTTCCAAGGCTCCTCTTCTGTCGCCGAGCTGACTGCAGCTGGGGGGCCCGGGGGACGTGCTCCGGAGCGAGACGGGCATTACGTCATCCGCACCTCGAGCTGCAGACATCTGGGCCGCTCGATGTAAGGTATCTTCGGCTAGCAACAAGCTACTAGCATGCATTCAACACAGCTTGATTGAGCCTTGCGGTGATAGCAGGCGCATCTTTGATGATCAACCGGGGATGACATGGGATAAGTGCAACGTCGCTTGGCCCCCAATAGCAAAAAGCACAGACTGCCTAATGCATCTTCAGTACGGATACCCAAATGGTGGATAGCTACTCTGCATGTCCACAGGAAAATGACTAACTACGTAAGGAGAGTAAAGGTATCTGGATTAGTCCGTTTGAGGTTTTCGACTTCACCCCGTACTTGCTGGGGCAGCGATACGTACTGCTGCGAGTGGTTTGTGAAAGCAGAAGTTATTCACACTTTACTATCAATTCAGCAACGCATTTCGATGGACGACCGTGAGGAAATGAAATGGTATTGTAACATGGTATTGTAGTCTAGACTTTTGGACACCCTAGAGCACCTAAAAATCACCGCTTCTGGCGCGCCAGCTTCGCTCTGGTCCTCCCCTTGGCCGGCACATTCTTCTTCTTGGGCTGCTTCTTCAGGTTCAGCACCGCGCCCTTCCCATCGCGCTCCGCCCTGCCCTTCTTCCACACCTTGTCCTCGCTCCTCATCGACTTGGCGTCGAGCTTCTTCTTGTCCTTGTTGCTCAGCTTCGGCTTCTTGCCGTTCTTGGGCCCGTTGAGCTCCTCCCGCCCCGCAATCTTGGCCTTCTTCTTGTCCTCCTCCGTCTCGAACCACGTCCGCTTCGGCCGCGCCTTGATCTCGGCCTCGTGCTGCATAATGTTCTCACCCTTCTTGAGCTGCATCTCGGCCTGCTGGAACTGCTTCTCCTGCTTCTCCTCCACCATGATCTCTTCGATTTCGTCCTCCATCTCGTCCACCTGGTCCTGCCACTTGTCCGCCTCCGTCGGCTCGACGACGCGGCTCATGATCTTGGCGCCGTTGGCCTTGCCAGCCTTGACCGCCGCCTTAACGACCTTGCGGTCCGGCTCCGCCGCCAGCGTGATGGCCACACCGGTGCGGCCGGCACGGGCCGTACGACCGACTCTGTGCACGTAAATCTCAATGTTTTGGGGTGCTTCGTAGTTGATGACTGTGTCGACGCCCTTGATATCGAGACCACGGGACGCAAGATCCGTCGCCAAGAGGTAGTTGACCTTGCCATCACGGAAGTTTTCGACACTGGCAATTCTCTGTAGAATTGGTTAGCAATTGAGTTTTAGAAAAGATAACCTGTAAGAACTCACCTGAGCCTGGTTCATGCTACCGTGAAGCTCTGCGCAAGACAAGCCAAACAGCCCAAAGATGATTCTTGCTCGATGGGCGTCCTTCTTCTGACGGAAGAAAATGATGACACGCTCGGTGTGCATCGTCTTGCAGATGTGCACAAGGTAGCCCATGCGCTTCTCCTCGCGACCGGGTCTCAGGCGCACAAACTCCTGCACCAAAGTGGTGACGGTCTTGTTCTTTTGCGAGTCCACCATGACTCTGGCGGGCTTGTTCATGCCCACGCGCACCAGTCTGTCGACGGAAGATGTCATGGTGGCGGAGAACAGCATCGTCTGTCTTGACTTAGGCAGGGTCGTCAAGATCTCGTTCAATTCGTCGGCGAAACCATCCTCAAGCATACGATCAGCTTCGTCGAGCACGAGAATTTCCACGGTATCGACGTTGAAGCTGGCAGAGTTCCTCATGTGGTCGATGAAACGACCGGGTGTGGCGATGATGACATCTGGCCTCAGCCTCAGCTCGACTTCCTGAGCCTTGAGACTCAGACCACCGACGGCGAGAGTGAACTTGATGTCTGTGAATGCGGCAAGCTTAGTGGCGACAGCGTGACACTGGATGGCCAGTTCACGGGTAGGGGTGAGGATGACCACGCGGCTCGTAGGCACCTTCTTGGGCCTGTACAGGAGACGTTCGAGAATGGGGACCACAAAGGCTGCCGTCTTTCCTGAACCAGTGACTGCACCACCGACAACGTCCTTGCCCATCAATGCAATAGGCACAGTCTTGGCTTGAATGGGCGTAGGCTTGGAGAAGCCGACAGCGGCCAGACCTCTCAGAAGGGGACGCGAAAGAGACATGGCCTGGAATGATGATGCCGTATCCTTCTTGCCGGGCTTTGCGGGCTCCTCGGGAGCGAAGAAAGCGTCACGCTTCGCTTGCTCCTCTGCGTCTTCCTCCTCTTCGTCGTCTGAACCACGGTCGTCGGGGTGGTCTACGGGTGTCGCAACGGAATCGTTGTCGGATGCTGCTGCGTCGTCATCGTCTTCGGCCTCCGCGTCGTCCGCATCGGATCCCTCGTTGTTTTCGGCATCAGAATCCTCAGCACCAGAGTCCACGCCCATGCCAAAGGCATCATCGGCCAAGACTCCATCTTCGTCGTCGTCGAGGTCGATGTCCACGTCCATGTCGTTGTCCACCTCGGCATCTGCCGCATCCTCCTCTTTATCCTCCTTCGGCTTATCCTCGCCACCCTTCTTGGCCCGTCTTCTGCGAATGATCTCATCCAGATCAACGCCCGCAGCGGCATTGCTGTTCATAGACTTCTTTGCGCCTTCGAACCCCCAACCCTCGAGTTCTGCGTCGCCGAATTCGATGGCATTGTCTTGCGCAAATTCGAAGTCCGAGTCCATAGCACCATCGTCTTCGTCTTTCTGGCCCCAGATACCCTCGGCGACTTCGTTTTCTGGTGACTCTTCTCTGGCGGCGGCCTTTTTCGACTTTTTGGTGGCCTTCACCTTCTTCTTGGGAGGCGGTGCCACGGTCTCCTCCTCGACAATTTCCTCGTCATTGTCGGAGATTGTGTGGACAAAGTCGTCGTCGATCTGCTTGCGCTTATGAGAAGGCGCCATGTTGAGAGGTGGAATGGTCGTTGAGAATTACGATTGTCAGGACCGCGGGGTATCGTCGAGCTTTCACACACACACACGCCTGCTCTCACACTCGCGCAGTTCCCAGAGCCAGAAATTTTTCTGGACGGACGGTGGAGCTAAACTTTTTCTGCCGTCTTCAGAGACCGTCCCCCTGTCACAGGCGGTCAGACGGAAGACTATTGGGACTGAGTGGGCCTTGGACCGTTCGTTCATCAGAAGGAAGGAACGACGGAAAAAGATACGTACTGATCTTGACTGGACTTGCGCACGTGACGCTGTTTGTCATCAGATTTTAGGGGCAGGGGCAACTCCCGATAGACCCCACCATGGTTGATTGGGCGACCATTTTATTGGCAACAATTTTGGCAGCCTTCACGCCGGGCGCCGACAAAGCAACGAGATTTAATTTCTGCCCTGTTGCTCTACAACTTGTCATTTTTGGTCCTAACCAATCTCGGCACCTTGCTACTTTCCACACGTCTCCTTCTCGACTTCTCAACCACCAACACCCACCGCTGCCAAACGCGTTCCTGCTTCTCTCGAGCGTCCTTACGAATTTCCTTTTTGACATCCATCCTGAGCGCGTTTTCCCGATTGTCAACACAGTTCCAGCCGCAGAGGCAAACACACACATACAAAATGGGCGAATCCAGGTGGGCAAAGCTTCCATCCCCTTCCATCGCGGTGCTACATACGGCAGCATCTTGGGCATTCGCGCATCGCAACTCTTGGCTAACACGGCACGGATATCCAGACAAGAACTCATCCAGTGGCTGAACCAGCTTCTCTCTCTCAACATCACAAAGGTCGAGCAATGCGGTACTGGGTACGTTGCTGATCGGATACCCCTCCCCCGCCATGTGTTTATTGTGGGACCCATAATGATTTTGATGATGGTGGTTGCTAATGTTTGGTTTCAATCTGCAGTGCAGCTCTCTGCCAGGTGTTTGACAGCATCTTCATGGATATCCCCATGTCCAGAGTCAAGTTCAACGTCAACAGCGAATATGCGTACATTCAAAACTTCAAGGTGCTGCAGAGTAAGTTTGCGCCGTCCTACGCTGTGACACCTCTGCGTCCACCTCCATCCCCATCATACACGGAACGAAGAGCCATGGCTGACAAGACATTACTTGAACAGACTGCTTCCACAAGCACCAAGTCGACAAGCCCATTCCCGTCGAAGCGTTGGTCAAGTGCAAGATGCAGGACAATCTCGAGTTCCTGCAATGGACCAAGAAGTTCTGGGACCTGAACTTCCCCGACCACGAGTACGACGCAGTCTCCCGACGAAAGGGCGCCCCCGTGCCCTCTGGCGGTGGCCCTGCTCCCCGTGCCGCATCCGGTACTGGTGCGGCTGCCGCCAGACGGGGTGGTACCACACCTCTCGGTGGTGCGCGCGTTCCCAAGGCGGCAGGCCCCGGCACAGCTGCCCTGCAGCAAGAGAACGCCACTCTCAAGGAGACGGTCGTCGGCCTTGAGCGCGAGCGTGACTTCTACTTCAGCAAGCTCCGCGATATCGAGCTCCTGGTGCAGCAGGCCGTGGAGGAGGACCCCGAGCTTGAGAAGCAAGAGGACGGCCTCGTTAAGCAGATCCAGACTATCCTGTACTCGACGGAGGAGGGATTCGAGATCCCGGCTGAGGGCGAGGCTGTCGACGACCAAGAGACCTTCTAAGTCGGGAGGCTTCGAGGTAGGGCGACGATGGCACACATGGAGGAGATGTTGTATTGTTGGATGGGAGGTTGTGATAAGGGGAGTCGGGGGGTAAAAGCACATGGGTTTGGCGCTAGTACAAATACCCTACGGCACGTAATAATCAGTATACCGGCGATGAGGCTGAGCGGCCCTCGGACTGTCGAGACAGAAGTCGGTCAGAGCTTGCGGCAGTCCCGTCCCACATGAGCAGTCATGATAGAATCAGAACGTTTTGTCTGGGAATCTCGAGTCAGTTTCCGTGGGTGACACGAAGAGAGTATGAGGGCTTGAGCCACGCGTCCAAGACCACATTCCACTATGGCTATCCGGGTTATTTGGGCGTCATTCTGATCCTACATTTGGTGCTGCAGCATCTAGTTCTCATCGGAGAAAGGTAAGCCTGCACTACACACCCATCACAGAGCGTAAATTTAGTCTGCAGTCTGAGAGCTGTGCGAGACTGTATGCTGCAGATGACCTGGCAGAAGCGTCGTGTTATGCTCGAGTATTTTATGCCGGGACGTTTTGCATATTGACTTTTGATTATTGACTTCCAAAGTGGGATTTCTGCAAAATGTTCATTGATCGATTACCAAGAAGACAACTTCGTCAGTTCATCACACTACCATGCGAGTCACTACAATAGTATCCGTGATCGGTTATGTTGATCGACCAGATGTTGATTAGATCGGACTTGGGTTCCATTGTCATCATCGCCCAGTTCCTGGCCTGATTGACCAGGTGCCTGAGAAAGCGAGGTGCCCAGCTGAGCATGTCCCAGAAATGCGGTCATTCCTGCTGCGGGCCCAATTTAGTGGTTCCATGCAATGCGCCACAGGCGTCAACTTTGGAGCAGTTAGCGGCACACGAATTGACATGCCCGATTCTTCCAGTGCCAAAAGTACTACCTACGCCCAAGCAGGCTGCCGTGTTAGGGAAGCTGGAGGTGACAGGGTACCTCGAAGTAGCAGCCCGGGCCTAGGTATGCTGCAGCTGAGGTACTGCACAAGCGGACCTGAACGGCAAGGTACCTTCGTTCCAGTATGGTATTGACTGGAAACCTGAGGTGCTGCTCTCTCTCACACTCCCGTCTCCTTCCCTCTAGACCGGCTGAACGAAAGGAGCGACAAGAACCTCAGACATTCCCCCGAAACCTTTTTTGGACCTGACGCAAACAACTGACCAAGGCCATCATTCCGACCACCAAACACAGAAAATAGTTGACCAGTACGACGGCTGCCTTTTGTTATTTCGCGAGCCATTTCATTCCCTTAACGTCATCTCGCCAACGAGCCCAAGAGACGACTTCTAGAAGAGCGACCAGAACAACAAAGCATCCATACCCTCCATCGATCACCAGCCATCGAACGAGGAGAGCTACAATTCAAACCAACTAGCTCGTCCGAGCCTTCCTTCCGCCTCGTCCAAACCCGACAAAGAATCCTAACCCCCCTCGTCGCCAATCCTCTAGAGAAAAACTCTCTTTTCTACACAACCTCCCGCCTCGAACGAACCACAATAACACACCCTTCACACACACAATGGCGCCTCCCGCCGAAATCTCCATCCCCTCAACCATCCTCTCGACCGGCGAATCGAAACCCTTCACCCTCTACAACATCACACTCCGCCTGCCCCTCAAATCCTTCGTCGTCCAAAAGCGCTACTCCGACTTTGCAACCCTCCACCAGACCCTCACCTCCCTCGTTGGCGCCGCGCCCCCCAACCCACTCCCGGGCAAGTCCTGGTTCAAATCCACAGTCTCCTCCCCAGACCTTACAGAACAACGCCGCAAGGGTCTCGAAGCCTACCTCCGCGCCATCGCAGAGTCCCCCGACCGCCGCTGGCGCGACACCTCGGCCTGGCGCACCTTTCTCAACCTTCCCAGCACGGGCGTCGGCAGCACGGGCAACTCGGCCGCCAGCGCCCATGGCCTCATCACCAGCGGTCGCGCGGGCGCCGCCGACCCGACGACCTGGCTCGATCTACACCGCGAGATGAAGAGCTGCCTCCACGACGCGCGGAATCAGCTCGCGAGAAGGGACGGCGCCGTGGATAGCAATAATACCTCTGCTGCCGCCGAGGCCGGGGCCGCTGCCAAGAAGGCGCTGGTCAAGGCGGGTACGCTGGTGAGCACCCTCGCAGACGGGCTGAGGGCCATGCAGGAGGGCGGACGGCTCGGAGACGGCGAGTTACGGCGCAGAAGAGACCTGCTCTCCTCCGCTCGCGTCGAAAGGGAAGGGCTCGACAAGCTCAGCAACAGCATGGCGCAAGGAAACAGCAGAAACGGCGGCGGCGGACCCGGCGGACGGGAAGGGTGGGCCTCGGCGGGCGACAAGGCTGCATTACTGGGGAGGAGCGGCGGTGGTGGTGGGGCGAGGACGGGCGGACGGGTCCTGGGTGCCCCGCTGCCGGAGACGGAGCGGACGCGGGAGCTAGACAACAACGGGGTCGTGCAGCTGCAGCGGCAGATGATGAGCGAGCAGGACGAGCAGGTGAATACCCTGGCGGCGATTGTGCGGCGGCAAAAGGAGATTGGGCTGCAGATCAACGAGGAGGTGACGGAGCAGACCAAGATGCTGGACCGGCTGAACGAGGATGCCGATCGGGTCGGGGGCAAGATTGATGTCGCCAAGAAGCGTATCAAGAAGTTTTGACGCGGCTCGCTGTCGGAAGAGGAGGGTGAGGATGTGGCGGCGGTGACGGTGACGGGTACGGTGCCTCGGCTTACAGCAGCACCGCCGTTGGTTGTGGCGGGTGGTCTCGCTGCCCGGTCCGTGGTCACTGTCCTTAGTGTCGTGGTTTGGTTTCTTTGGGTCGGCGGACGGGTATTGGATTCTTTTGCGTGGTGCCTGGAGTTTGGTTCCGTCTTGTTGGTCGCGCGGACTCGTCGATGAAATTCATCTTATCACAGCGGCCCTTTGTTCGGTCTGAGGGAATAGCTTTCTTGTCTTGACAGTACAACGACGTTTTACGTACGCGAGTACGACGGGGGCTTCTTTTTTTTTTTCTCAACATTTTATACACTTTGCAACAATAGCGATTCACAACTCATCTTTTTTCTGAATATCTCCAAGTTCTGTTTTCTTTTGTTTGTTATTTCGAGTTGAGATTGGAAATACCAGTGTATCTTACCTCAAGGTAGTTGTGGCTTGGGATTTGAAGTTGTATCCAGATTGGTGCTTATTCTATTCATTCACGACGACATTGTGCATACAGGAGGACTACAATACGGCCATCTATCTACGTGAACGAAGTGTAGAGCATGCTCGTCTTGGTATTGGTTACCATATACGGTAGTAGAATGAATTCCTTACTCAAAGAGCCTTGCCATTGGACTCCCACAGCCACGCTCCAAGCACATAGCCACCATTTGACTGTGAGGTAATGAATGAGGCTGCGTGGCCCAGGTTGTATCACTGTTCACCCAGTGAATTGACTAGAATTCTACCCAGGCCGGGCGAGATCTCTGCTCCGTACAGCGCCCCCTGGTTATGTACTCAAGACGATAATGATCTCGTCTCGGAAGCTTCGATGGGCCCATTATCCACATGATCGATGGTACGCGCGCCCTTCATCGTAATCGTTCTGAAGCCGTAGGCGAATTACGCAACGTCATTTTCTCCTGCCTCAATGAATCTGGTGCCAAACTCTGGTGCTGGATTGAGGCCCTTCATGTTGCATTGGCGAGGATGAACAAATCAATGTCAGAGGGCGTGTCCAATCGATTATAAGAGGGCTGTTTATGGCCGTGGATGACACCCTCACACTTGCACATATGATTAATTCTGATTGGGCCAAGACAGGCTGCCTCGAAGGCTGACCTACATCGGCAGCCTTACTGCAGCAGCCGCAGCAATGTTATCTCAAAACAATCGGCTCTGGGCGGACTCGGGAGTCGGGAGATGGAGGTAGGGGACGCGACGGTGTTTCTCTCGCGCCGGACCGTTCCTCATGCACATGCAGACGGCGGTTGCTTACGGACGGGGACCCCCTGCCGTTATTGAGTGACGGGTTGGTTACATGCAGTTGCCGTCACATCGCCCTGATTTCTCTCGTTTTCGCCTTTGTCGCAGGAAAAGAAATGTGAAGCACGTGGTTATTGGGCGAAGACTGGAGACTAGGGAGGTGCGATATGAATCTCGTTATATGAGCAAAGTGAAGCCATCGTCAGTTTGGCTGCTGTTTTCACTCCTCAACTCAGAATCGAGCTGCCTGGATGCTGTGTAGAACTATCTGTACCCGTAAAGTCGGCGGTTGCCGGCCGGCAGAAAGACGTTTAGTGTGGCACGGTGGCACGTTGTGGCCACGCCCACTTGGTGACATTTGGTACGTCACCCGAGCGCCGGGATGGGGCACACCGTACACCCGACGGTGCAAGGGACTTCCCGCGGTTGCTGGGCAACGACTGTGAGGACCGTTTCCGAGAGAGGAAAAGTTTAAAAAAAAAAAAAGGTTGAAAGAAAAAAACGACAAAGAGGAAGAAGAGTCGAGACAGAAGCACCACCCTGCTCCACCACGACGACCGTTGAGATGAGATGACGCCGCAGTGTCACAATTGGCGCCCAACGGTGCCCTGCTTGCCCAGCCTGGCTCATTGCAATGTTGCAGTCGCAATCGCAGTGTTCGCCCGATCAGCCGTCGTATTGAAGCCCATCGAGAGCTGAACCTAATCGACCCAAGGGAGACCCAGTGAGCTGGGCGCGAGAGCAAGATGATGAAGGTCGAGGTGATTGCAACGATACTCCGTACGGGACTGGCGGAGGTCGTGTGGACTCCGTCGACGGTGGCTCACTCTCCTCTTTCCCCCCTCCTGCCTCCTCTTCCGCACCGCCCTCCTACATCGAAAGTGGATGTGCTGGCGCCGAGGGCCTGCCGCCTATTACCGGGGGAAATAGCCTCAAGACCCGCGATTCGCTGCCATGGCGTCCCAGGTGGAGCTTTCCCTCTGTGATTCCGAACGATTCCCACTGATTGAC